AGGAAAAAGAGAAACAAAATTTTTACACAATTAATGATTTTTAATTGCCTATTCAGATTTGTCCAACAATTACTATATGTAAAATATATTTAATGATTTTGGCGGGAAAAGATTTCCAAATTTGTTAAAAAGGTTATTCTTTTTATATAATGATAGATTATAAATGAGTTTCGAGTTCGAATCACGTAAGTGAGGAATTGATACCTTTTTAAAAGAGAATTATGATGCCACGTGTGAAAATTTGAGTTCGCAAGGTTTCAAAAATTATTATTATTATTATTATTATTACACTGAGTAATCCGTGCTATGCACGGCTGTAATAATTTGTGGAATTTATATATTTATTTATTTTTATATAGCGAAGCCTGTGTATTTTTAAAAAAAAAAATCTGAAGCCCAATTATGTTCCACAATATAATGTACTCAACTAAATTGATCGGGTGAAACTTAACGGGCCAATAACATATTATTGAATTGACCCAAATAAAGCCTAACCATGAAAGCAGACCGAATCATTAAGTGCGACCCAACATCTCAACCTGTTATGGCTTAAAAGAATGGATCAGACGGTTTGAATGTCAACTGATATCTAATGGTCAGAAATCAAAGATGCTATCTAAAAAAGTTAAAAATATCCAAATTATTAGGGTTATGTTATTACTTCTCCTCCTCCCACCGCTTTCCTTCTCTATTCTCTCTCTTATATCACTTCTAGAAACTTGATAAAATATTCTTTCAAATTTTCACAAAAATGCTCTATTTTTTAAACAATCAATCACATTAATTGCGGGTCGATTTCTTATGTTAGATAGATCGATATTATATCTTGTCTTTATGTTTAGAAAGATGTCTCTATTATTTTGTTTCTTTTGATTGTCATATTTTTTTGTGTGTTCTAAGATTTTATGTTTGTTTTTTGGTCGAAACTGATGACACACTGACTCTGTTATTACTATTTCGACCATTTCAAAAGCTTTTCTTTTGAATATCGAGACTTATGTAATTTGTTGTTCAATTATTTTGATTCATATTGCTTTTTTTAGTTATTTTTAGAAATATCGTAAGTTTAATGGACGGATCTGGAAGAATTTTTTAATTTTCGGTCGAAATCCAAATTTTGTTCAGTCGAAAAAAATGAATACCAGAAATGAAGTTTATTTTCTATTTGAATGTCTATTTGTTTTAAAAAATGTTACAAATCTTAGTCGGTTATATAAATTTTGATTGTATTTTGAAATTTAATTTAAAATAAGTGATTGAACAAATCCCACATTTTAAGGGCAGCATTTAATGCTGCCCGATTTTGTAAGAAAATAAATAAAAAAAGTTGCGAAAAGTGGCATGTAATTAATGCAGATAGGATTTTGACCAAAATTTGACTTACTATTTTTGAAAAATGTTAATTTTTATTATATATATATATATATATATATATATANCTATAAGGTGCAAGCAAGATGAAAAAATAAGTCATGTTCTTGGCTCATTTATTCATCCAAAGTTCAGAATGAAGACACTGTGCAGGTTAAGATATTCAATGGCAGGCATAAGTGTCATAGAAACCAAAAGGTGAGTCATGCTACTCCAAAATGGATAGCTGAAACTTACAAAAATAAGATATTAGATAATCCTATATGGCCAGTAGAGGCAATGATGGCAGAGATGCAAAGGGAAGTAGGGATTGTTTTCAAAAGATGGCAAATGTATCAGGCAAAAAAAATATGTGTCTCAGATTGGTGTGGGGTCTGATTGTGAGCGATATGCTATGCTTTGGTCGTATGCTGAAGAGATTAAAAATAACAACCCTCGGACCACTGTAAAATTAAAAGCAAACTTGTAGATGGGGAGCCACTGTTTATAAGAATTTATATTTGTTGGGGCTCTTTAAAAAGAGGATTGCTTAGGGGTTGTAAGAAGGTGATATGCTTAGATGGTTGCCATCTGAAAACCAGTTGTGGTGGTGTTCTATTGACTGTAGTTAGAGTTGATAGAAACAATTGTATGTATCCTTTTTGCATATTCTGTTGTTGAAAAGGAAACAGAAAAAACTTGGCAATTGGTTTGGTGAACTGTTGAAAGGAGATATGGGGATTGAGAATTCTTTTCTGTGGACAATAATGTCAGACAAACAGAAAGGGTTGGTAGATGCCATTGAAACTCTACTGCCAGATGCTGAGCATAGGTTCTGTGTCCAACAATTATATGGAAACTTTAAGGCTTCATTTAGGGGATTAGTCCTGAAAAATTTGTTGTGGAGAGCAGCCAGGTCCACCAGGGTTGTTGACTTTAATGCTGCAATGAAAGAACTGAAAGGAAGGGACAAAGAAGCTTTTGATTGGTTGGCTAAGAAACCAGCAAATCAGTGACTGTCAAGGTCACACTATAGTTGCAACTCAAAGTGTTATATGCAGCTGAATAATATGTCTGAGTCATTTAACTCACTTTTATGAGGGTAAGGAGTAAACCTATTGTTTCTATGTTGGAAACAATAAGACTTATCTTGATGAAGAGGACCTACATGAGAAGGAATCAGATGAGAAAACATTTGCATGGGAACTTGTGCCCAAAAATCATGAAGCTGTTGGAGGAATTGAAGAAGAAGTCAATGGGTTTTATTTGTCACTAGAATGAAGAAGACCAGTTTGAAGTAGAGGGAAGCTCAGGGAGATTCAGAGTTCATATGGGGAGAACTCATGCACATGTAGGAAGTGGGACCTCACAGGTATCCCTTGTGAGCATGCCATAAGTGGTATGTTCTTGTTGGGCACTCAACCAGAGGACTATGTTGTTGACTGGTACCACAAAGAAACGTTTTTGAAGGCTTATTTTGAGATGTTGGGCACTCTTCAACCTCCTGAATGTTGGACAAATATAGAAGCAATACCCTTGCAACCACCATCTATTAGGAGACTACCTGGAAGGCGAAAACAAAATGCTAGAAAAACACAACCCCATGAAAAGGTTTTGCCAGGAAAATCCAAAAAACAAGTTGAAGTGAGGTTCAGTAGGAAAGGGAGATTAATAAAATGTTCTCTCTGCAAGAAAAATACCCACAACATCAGATGTTGCCCTTTAAAAACTGACAAGAGTGCACCAACTAGAGGACTTCCTATACCACCCTCTAATAAAGATAATTCTGTGGTCAAGGTAATGAAATTGTTAAAAAAATTATGTGTTTTATTATAAATATTGTTTTTTCTGATTCATAAATTGCATTGTTTTTTATGAAGAGAAAAAAGAGGAAAACAGCTGAGAGAGAGAGAGTGGAAGTGAAGCACCAGCCCCTATTGAGGAGATTAATGTGGTTAAGGTAATGTTCTTTGTTATACAATTGTTACTATTGGTGTGTTTAGTGTATTTTCTAATTCAAAGCATATATTGTACATAATGAAGGGGAAAAAGAGCAAACCAAGTGGCAGAGAGTGTGAAGTGTCAGCCCCTATTGAAGACATTACTGTGGGCAAGGTAATTTATTTGTTAGTTAAACAATTATTATTAAACAATTATTAGTGTGTTTCATAAAGTGTATTTTATTACTGTGGGCAAGTGTATTTTCTAATTTTCTAATTGCATACATTCTTTCTGAAGGGGAAAAGGAAAGAAATTGTGAGAGCAAGTGATGTCTTACAAACACAAGAATCTGTTGCAATGATACATACAAGGGTCACCAGAAGACAAGTCCTATCTGAGCATCATTCTCATGAGAAAGGCAATCCCACAAGACTCACAAGAAGCCAGCCTGTGGGGCCTAGTGGAGTTGCAACAAAACCACAAAAGTCACAAGGAACCAAACTCCAACTGCATCTACACCTACTAGGAGAAAAGAAAGCCAGACTACAAAAGAGACGCATATTTTTGCTGCAACTTCACCCACAAAAGCCACAAGGAGCCAAACTCAATCTGCACCTACACCTACAAGGAGAAAAGGGAGTCAACGCACAGGGCATACTTTTGTTGCAACTTCACCCACAAGACTTACAAGAAGCCAAAGTGCATCTACAACTACACCTACAAGGTTAACAAGAAGTCAGTCCAAAGGTCTTACACCTACCAAGGAATTGGTGCCAAAGGACTCAAAAAATTCAGACTAAGTGCAAGACATTGTAATTGAAGAGGAAACTAGAGGTATTAATAATACTCATTTTCTTTTCCCTATGTGCTTCAACCTGTTGTAATGATATTATTATGCTATTAATAGGTGAGCAGGCAAAAGAATCCTTTAACTCAAGGTGCAAGCTTTTCAACAACAAAAGGACCAGTTGTGAACAAGCAGGTGGTGCAATCTCAGCCTGAGCCAGAGATATTGGGAACATATTGGATTACTAGTTGTTGGAGCATAGTGGATAACTAAGGGTTAGTTTTGATAGATGTGTTTGATTTTGGAACTGCAATGGTTGTGGTTGGTTTTGGATGTGGTTGATAAGTTTGTTGAACTCAGATATAATGGTTGTTAGGTTTTGGATTTTGGATGTGGTTTTGGATATAGTATGGTTAGTTTTGAACTCAGATTGGATGTGGTGTTGAAATCAGATACAATGGTTGTTAGTTTTTGGTTTGGTCATCTATTTTGGTTGTTGACTGGGTGTTTTTTATGTTGGCCTTGTAAAAATCGGTTTGGAATATTGTTAGAATGAAAGAATTATGACTATTACATATTGTGCAATTTCTGATTTGTGTTATGGATGTATTTTGTTTGTTTTTGATATTGTTATGTGTGTTATGTGTGTTTTCTTATTTCTGTTTATCTTTTGGAATGAAAGTATTGTTCATGAGTACATATACACAACCATTCACACATATGTAAAAACATGTTACTAACATTCTAAAGAAAGTCATGAGCACACAACTAATGTAAAAGAGTCGGAACAACCAAAATGGTGCTTGCTTAACCAAAAGAGTTCAACACACATCACATTAGCATTAACATTACAATCATTAGCATTAACATTACAATCAAATTAATGCAAAAGAGATCCACAAATCTAAAAGCCTAGATAACACTACAACATGAAATATATGATCACCCAAGAGATCAGAATCACAATCCACAGCCAACGCTCACGAGCACTTTTCCTCTTCAAACACAATTCAAGATTGGCCCTTTCTTCCATAACATTTTCAATACAAGCTCCAACCTCTTTCAAATCTGATTGAAGTTTCTTCACATCAGCTTCCAACCTAATCATGTATACTTCAAGAAATTGAGCTTCACTTTCAAATTGTTGGCACGTCTCAAAAGGTCGGGAATGATTTCACAAGCTCTAATGCACAAAGGTGGTTCAATCCACGAAAAATATACACAACCACCATTGTCCTACAAAATTCAGTTAAAGAAGCAAATTAATTTCAGGAGATCTAGGGTTTATTGATTCGCCCAATTTTTTGAATTAGGGTTCACTGAAATTGCCCAAATTCATAAATTAGGGTTAATCTAATTATCTCTTACCCGATTTTTTGCGCAAGTAGCATATCTCCTTCCTGGATTTTGAACACTCCACAATGTTTTCGTAACAACATTTTTTCCACATTGACATACTTGACCCATCACCTCCGTTTGTCTCCAAGCCATTTTCGTTTTCGACACCAACCTGCTGAAGAAGAAAATTGAAGAAATCAGCGCGCGATTTTTTATAAATCTTCTAAGACGATAAAATGTCAAAGTTGTCCTTCAAATGTAATGCAAAATGGCAAATTTGACCTCAAGTTTCGAGCGTGTGCGTCGCACGCTCGCTTTTTCGGTGGAAAACGAGCCGTCGATGGACGGAGGTTGCGATACAAACAAACTCGTGTATAATAANTGAGCGAGTTCCCAAAGGCAAAACCGTGCGGGGAAGGTTGAGAATACCCAAAGCGGACAATATCGCACTACGGGTCTAGATCGCTGGGCTGTTACATTGGTATCAGAGCCAGCACCCGAACCATGTGCCAGCGAGGATGCTGGGCCCCTGTGAAGGGGGTGGATGCAGATATCCCACATCGGTTGTGAAGGAGAACGAAGCATGCCATATAAGTGGCTGTGGATACCTTTACTAGTGTGACGCGTTTTGGGTGAGCGAGTTCCCAAAGGCAAAACCGTGCGGGGAAGGTTGAGAGTACCCAAAGCGGACAATATCGCACTACGGGTCTACATCGCTGGGCTGTTACATAATCATAATAATAATAATAATAATAATAATAATAATAATAATAATAGTCCACACAATTCTCTCCCGGTTCGGAAGGCTTTTCCCTCGAAGCCGATGCGCACCCGTGGCCGACGTGTGGTGTCGAACCCATGGTAGGAAATCCCCCTCGTTTTCCCGGTCGAACACGAATGTTAAATGGCACTGTGATCTACCTTGGCGAGCCACAAAATCCTTGGCTACGCGAATGACACTTTTCCTCTTCTCCACTTGAGTTTACCGGCCAACCCAAACAAATACTTCGGAACCACAATCCAACAATTTTTTGTTTTCGAGAATCAATTTGGAAAGTGCGCCATCGTCAACAATGACAAACTCACACTTCCCTTCATGAAGCTGCTTCAACATATATAACCGCGTGTCTTCTTCAGGTTTATTAAATCCAGATGCAACACCACCTTCAAGGGTTATGAAACATGGATTAAAAGATGACAAAAAAATGTCAGACTCGTGCCATTGGAATTCTCTATACTGCACAACACGTCTACCAAAAATCGCATTGAGTTCAACGATTTTGATAGCAGCAGTTCCAACTTCATCCTCCAGCCCCGGAGGCTCCTCATCAATGGTCGATGGACCGTCGTACAATAGCCCGTCGTACAATAGCCCGTCATCTTGTTCTGCGCCGAATTCAGGGATGTCAACGTGAAATGGGCCCTTTCATTGACCATATTCGCGATCAAGCCCACCGAAAAACTCGAGGATGTCGAACCCCTTGAAGTCGGCGCCATCACGTTCAAGTCCCAAATCGCATCGGGCACGATATCCGCCGACGAAAGCAGCCTCCTCGCGCTTGCCTCTGTCGTCGTGTTGATCGTTGTCGTCCACGAAGACCTAGCCCCGTCACCGCATGTCACGACTTCCGTATCCAACGAAGGGGTCATCCTCAACGTACTTCGGTGGAAAATCGTCGAAGGGATTCACCTCCGAGACTGTCTCCTCGCCGTGTTTGTCGCCGGACGGTGGTTGTGGAGATCTCCGGCGGGGCGCCCCGCCTGGACCACGGCCACCACGTCCTCCGTGAATTCCCCCGCGCACGCCCTGGTTGTCGGCGTCACGGTACATTTACTTGTCCTGAACCATGGTACAGATAGCTAGACGTATGTCCCCTATCTCTGCGGACAAATCTCCAGTCTAACAACTCATCGTCTCGAGCCGGCGGCTAAACCACTCGATCCGGTGGCTCAGGTTGTAGATGTCGGTGACACGCCTGTTGCAGCATCTTGTCTTCGCAACAATATCGTGAATCGTTCTGACTTCTAATACCAACTGATGTAGAGAAAGGTACAAATGAGACGGTATTAATGAGATCGCAATCTCAAGAACATCTAAATCAGATATCAAATCTTTTTTTCATTCAAAAATCAACTAACTAAAACAATAGATAGGAAGTCCTTTAAATAAAGCTCCTAAACCCTATTCCTAACTTGTCCAAGATACCTATGCTGCTAAATAATAATAATAATAATAATAATAATAATAATAATAATAATAATAATAATAATAATAGTATACACCTATATTAATTTAAAATAAAATCCTCTAATCACTAATGGTGTGTGTTGTGTGATTCTTTTTTCTTCTTCTTTAAATTAACTAGTTTGCCCCTAATAAATCGCTACAAGGTCATTTTGCTCTTTTAAATGGACAGTGGTGACCATAAATTTCTTCAATGCATTTTTTTATGAAGTTATACGGACAATGTGTCACTTAAAAAATATTCCAGTGGGTAAAGTGCAAAAAATTGTACAATTAGGTTGGTAAAATATAATTTTCTCTAAAAAATCACTGAAAAATCAAATTTGCCCTTAGAAATGACCAGCGATGACCGAAAATCAATTAGGTGCAATTTTTTGCAAAGTCATATGAGCAAAGTGTCACGAAAAAAAGGTTAAGTGGGTAAAGTGTAAAAACCTCTATAATTAAGTGGGTTAAATGTAGTTTTTTTTAGAAGAAAAAAAAAAACATTTTTGAACTTTTTTTGCAAAAGAGGATACTTGTCCCTCAACCTCGAGATGAGGGTATGGGTGGCATGTACAAAAGTACAAAACCCACTCCTGGACAATATTCAAGACAAAGTTAGTGAGGCGCCAAAAGCATCCCCAACTATTTGTCCAATTGCAAGAACAATTTTGAACGGGTTCTCGAGCTAAGCCAAAGCAAAAGTAATAAGCCAAAGCAAAAGTAAGCTTCCAGCTTTAGCTTTTTCATGTAAATAAAAAAATTAGATGACTGGCTGATTTAAAGAGAATAAAGTGGTGGAAGAGAAGACTGGGAAAAAGAAATAAGGCAGTTAGGGAGAAAATGAGGAAATATTAGTTCTTCTCTTTAGGATTTGGAGAAAGCTCCACCTGTTGAACAACAATCTAAGAAACTAAATTTAGTGTTCTCCTGAGCTTATACATTCCGCGACAAACACAATGGCACAACTTCTCCCATCAATACATTATGTTTAAGTTCCTATTTGCAGAAATACTTGGGATTCTCACACAAAATTTATGTGGCAACAAATAACTTTGTCCCGAAACTCACAAGTATACTACATCGAAGGGAAGCAACTACATTCAGACTTCAACTAAACTACTCACACATGGTTCAGAAATCTGCAAATCATAAAGATTAAAACACCGAAAATCCATTAAATGAATCACTTGCCTCACTGCTTGCCAACAATTTTCTGAAACCATTTAAGAAACCAGCATACCACTGTCCACGAAAACAAGATTTAAATGGTTCTCGGCCAAAACCAATTGCGGAACTAGGCCACAAGTAAGAAAAAAAAACGTTGCGCCACATGATAAATGATATTCAGACATCCTTTATTCTAAAATATTCATATAAATTTGAAAGATGCGGTTGAAGGCTATAAAACTATGAATGAGAAATCACATCAACTGCTTCAAAATTAGACAACCATTATGTCTCATCACAATTTTCCATAAGCAAATAAACTCGGTAAAGACGAACTCTAAACCCATGTGAATAAATAACAAAACCGATACAAAGCAACGAGCGCCACAATCAGAAACCTCCAAAGGAACAGAAAATCTCCAAACCCTTATGAAAGTGCAATCACAAAGACGCTCACACCACCTTCACTGCCTTAAACGCGGGATGAAGCAAACCGAGTTCATCCCTCACCTCAAGAGGATTACTCGTCTCATTTCTAATCCTCTTGACTCCCCTATTAGAAAGCGACTTATGACTAAAACCGTACATCTGCAAAATCTGATCATCCCCGAAATTAAACGCGCGATCCATCTGCTTCAAGCACCTCTCGACCGAATAATCCCCGAATTTCTGACATGGCTTGCAGCCAACAAAGTGAGTCACTAGTGGCCATCTGTGGTCACCAAAGCCCGGATGATAATTCTCGATCATCTCCTCATACTTATCAACCAAGATTCCCCAATAACCATGCAAATAATATTTATTCTCAAGATAAACCTTATTCTCCCATCTATCTCTCTGACTCATGAGTATGTAAACCATGGCAGATTGGTCATCTGCCTCGAAAACAGGCCGGCCTTTGAGCTCCCGTGTAAGGAGCTGTCCAGCTTCGTCACGAATCTTCCCCTTGGGGCCCATTGGGGCTAACGTGTCAAGAATGTCCAAAGACCACTGGCAGTTTCTAAGCAAGAAACTGCCTGTGTTCAGCCCAATCCAATTCTTTTCATCATAAACCAATTCCTTCCAGCCGTGCATTACTAGATTGTGATCCTTGTACCTATCCCAAGGTATCTCGAAGGCCATGTCCGTGAACATGGCATCACTATCCATCCACCACAAGAACTCAACCTCTGGGTGGGAGAGCAGAAGCTTCCGGATCAACGGCAACTTGGCCCAAAAACCGGACATCTCGGCATCTAGCAGGGCCATGTTGTAGAAAATCTCAATCCCGTGAAGCCTGCAGTAATCGATTTTGTTTTTGATGGATTTCAGCAAGTAATGATCGCCTACGGAGTTCTCACACGGCTTGGGTGATGAACCAGTCACCAGCAAAACCCTAGGTTTGGTCTCCGTCAGGAAATTAGGGAAATTCGGGTTCTTTTTTAGCCATTCAGATCTCTGCTGATCCCAATCCGTGATTTTCGGTCCGAGTGTGTACGGCTGGGACGGATCGCGCTTGAACTCCTCGACCCCATCGTCCTCGTCCTTGAAAACTTTGGTAATGTCGAAATCGGCGTAGTTATTGGCCACGCTCGGCTTCGGCTCCTCCCGAGCTGCCGTGGAGACCGTCGACACCTCCTCCAGCACGCGGCGGGGCTCGGCCCGCCGGCGGATGTAGGAAAAGGTTTCACGGATTTCGTCGAGGTCCTTCTCCGGCGTACCGAATTTTCCGGCGCCTAGGTTTCCTCGCAGCATGAGGATTGTAAGGAAGAGGCAGAGCAGGGTTAGCTTGCCCCTCTGTAGGAGGTGCTGAGCCCGTCGGGCCCTGAGCGGGCCGAGGATCCGATCCAACATGGCGATTCAAAACTCTCGGTGCTAAAACCTCAGCCGGGTCAGCACAATGTGGGATAGGGATGGTGAGGGATCGGAGCTGCCAAAAATGAAGAGCGTGTGGAAATTGATATGAGGTGAGGACAGTGGTCGACGGAGATTGAAGGAGGGTATTTAGAGGGTTGTTTTGTGAAGAAAATTGGGAACGTGGAAAGAAATGGGGAAGGCGTGGAGAGTGTGCCAGGCTGGGCTGGGGCTGCCACCCAAGTTCAGCGACTTACAATGACGGTGCATTTTNGGCTCCTACAAGGGAATCCATCCCGAGCCAGACAAACTATACTAAACACAAAACACAACATTTTCCCAAAAGGAAAACAAAGCCACTCCCCAGGTGGGAGACAAAGGCACTCCCCAAGGGAGACCAAAACACAACAACAAAAACAAAAAAGACAACCAAGAAGAACACCTAACAACATAAACCAAACACAAAAAAAAAGAACACAGAAATAAACAAAAAAAGCCCTTCCCACAGCAGATGAACCAAGCCGAACAAACACTACGCCGACACCCACGGGCACCCACCCACACAGACAGGGACCCGGTCCATACCACGAATCCAGAAACTGCAGAATAAACGCCTAACTAGACTCGAGACATACAACCTTGCCCGCCCGGGTAGACAACCCGAGACCCGCAACCGGAGATCAACAACAAGCTCCACCATTCTAGCCCCGACGACCCAGGCCCAGGCCACAAGACCCGACCCCGAATCCGCAAATGCAGTCTAGAGACCCCAAAAGCAGAGAAATCGGGAGAAAGAAGGAGAGCGGAACGGCCCGATCTCAGCCTGACCACCCCACAAGAGACAATCGAAGCCGCAGCCCTTAATCGCAGACTCGCAGTAGACTCGCCGCCGGAGAATCGCCGGAACAAGACCCTCCATGGCAACCTAATAGGAGGCGAAAGCCAGATTGGGCGAATCCGTCATTTCACCCGGGAAGAGGGAGCCTCCAATCCAACGAGCCTTCAATATCCGGCCGCACAGTCGGGGGATGACCGGCACCGAGATGGCCCGGCGAGGCCCTGCTGAGGAAGGCGTGGTTCACCGCCGAACGAGGGTTTGGTTGATTTGGGGTTTTTTCTTTCGGTGTATGAGTTACCACCACTTTAAAGGTTGTCGAATTTTTTGTGACAATGCTAACAAAGCAATTTATAATTTAATAACAAAATCTTACAACAACGGACTCATCCTACCAATAGAACAATGAGGACCCTAGTTGGGGAGACATCACAGATTGTCCCCCTTCACAGCCACGTTGGCTACCAAATCACAAGAAACAATAAGGTCTAAATTATGAATAAATACACAACACATCAGGTTACAAGCTAAGTTATAAATGTCCCTTAGAATGGTGTAATTGATGTTCTGATCAGTTGGTTCCTCTAGCAGAATTTGGAGTTTAGATGGGTTTTTAATACAACACTTGAAGTTCCTGAGTCCCAGTAGTGATGCCATTTCGAGCCCCCATCTAATGCTTCTCAATTCAGCTGTTTCTTCACTGCCATGGAACTCCTCTGATGTGAACCAAGATTTGGAAATCTTATCACATTCAATTGCCAAACCAGCATATCCAACTCTACCTTCAGAGGATCTATGAGCACTGACAACTAAAATTAGTTGTCCTACCTTTGATGAAAATTGATCCTCTAAGCCTACATTGACTCCCACAGAACACATATTGTTTGTCAATTCCCTTTGATGAACTGCCCACATCTCCTTCTATCATGTCACAGCTTTACCTACAATTATTCTCTCTGCCACCCTCACTTTATTAAAAACCCAGTTGTTCCTGACTTTCGAAAGTTCCTATAATAGAGAGGTTGACAGACTCAGTCTTTCTTCCCAGTACACTCTTTTTTCTCCACCACAGACATCTCCCCACCAACTTCTGAAGCTCACCTTATGATCTTCAAAATGATTTTATATAAGCCCACTCAGTTTCCAACACAAGACTGCTCTTAAACAAGTAATTAAAGCACGAGTCAAATCCTTATCCTCCATACCACATATAACCGCCCCAATGATTTTTAAAGAAAATTCTGAACTTTTTCAAAAATCAAGATTACATTTTCAAAATTCATTTTTTGATAATAAACATTTATCGCCGTTACTCATTCATTTTCACATAAACAGTTCAAGTCATATCTGAACATGCGAGAATTCATTACCCAATTTATCACATAAGAACTCATTGTCCAATTATATCTCATGCGATATCAAATACAATTCATCATATCATAATCATAATCAAAATCTAAAATCATGAATTAAACCAATTCATACTCATCATTCAAAACCAGTTCATCATGATCAACATATCATCAATAGGTTCAAAAATCAACATGTTTGGAAATCCCAAAAACATAGTTCATCAAAAGCGGAAGCATAAATAAGTTGTGTCATAAGCATATAATGACCAACCACTCGTCTTCCCTTTGCCATGCCAGCCACCTGCTCAACCTGAAAAGGGGATGGGGACGGGACATGGGGGTGAGCAATCCACTAGCTCACCATGCTCATAAAACAATATAATAACAGATAGTAGGGTCGTAGCATGTACATGAATCAATCAACAAATATCACATCTCCTAATGCTCTAGTGTACACCCCATATAGCCGTTGAAGGTCGAAACCGCATCCTACAACGGGAGCACATGTCAATGGTCGAACCCGCATCCAAAGACATGACTTGTCATTAGGCGAAGAGAGATTGTCTCTCATTAGGCACCATCGACGGTCGAAACCGCATCCGCCGACGAGGATACCATATCGAAGGTTGAATCCGCATCCAACGATAATGTCGTGGTTTACATACATATATTGATCCTAAAATCTAGCAATTATACAGAGTTATGGCATAGTATTTTAAAAACACCCACCTGGTCAATTAGGCAGTAAAAAGCTCGTACTGCAGAGTAGTAGGTCGAGAGCTCGGATCCTCAGACACCTACATTTAATCCACATAATTTCTTAAATACATTATCTTGACACTTAGAAAATTTACGAGAATTCATACTTAGTCGAACATTATCGACTAAGTAGTTCGTGGAATTTTGTGAAATTTGGAAATCTTGGATTTGAAGGCTAGTCTCGGAAAAATCATTTAAAAATATTAAAAATTGACTCAACACGAAAAATAAGGTCAAACAGGTCAAAAAACGGTCAAAGGTTCAATATTTCCGCAGGAAATCCACAAGAAAATCGACATCTATCATTTTCTTGATAAAATTAAATAGATCTTGATATAATCAATTAAATTCCAAACAACTAACAATGGATCTACTCCAATCACTTAATAGCACACCAAAACAGAGGGTTCTCAGCCATCACATACCATACACCTTACGAATTTACAAGCCAATCTGAACCAAGTGGCCGGATAGGGGTTGGCCTCGGCAGCTAGACGCGTGACTCGGCTCGCGAGCTTGTCTAGCGGTGGTTTGGTGGATCTCCGACGACTGGCAGCGATGGAGGGCTCGCTGGACGTCCACGGGCGAGGGTGAGGCCAGCAGTAGGAGGGATGGTGAGACTTGCTCGTGAACGGACCGATTACGGGTGAGTAGAGCTCGCGGTGGTGGCTCGTGGGCTTCCTCGCGTGAAGGGCGCCGGCGATAGGGCTGGCAGCGGCGGGAGGTGACGTGCGAGGGAGAGGATGGTGATGGCGATGGGATTTTGGTGCTTTCTGCTGGCTTTCTTGCGTGAGAAGAGAGGGAAGAGATCTGAAAAATTTCTAAGGAATAATGAGACCTTGCATGTGGGATTTATGGGTAAAAGGGGAGGAGAAAATCATCTTCATCTATATAAAAAGAATTACCATTTACCAAAAATAGTAAGCAAAAAATCTGCCAACATTAATTACATACTATTTTGAGTAACTTTTTTTTTATATATATTTCAAAAAGTCAGGAAGCATTTGACTTGGTAAAAAATCGAATATGTATCTTCACTTGCTAATTAATGTTTATTATTTATTTATTTTCAAATGGTAAAAGAATTTTTATAATTTCTATCTCTTTAATTTTGCATTACAAAACAAAATTCAAATGAATTCCGTAGATAAAGAAACACGTGATGCTCAATTAAATAGAAAAAATTTATATTAAAATTTATTTTGAAATCTCGGTTTGTTCAGATCACTAACATACTACAAAAATTTAATAAATATGCATTAGATCACTGCTTTGTTCAGACCCATGTATCAAGTCATCATGTCAATTACATAATCAATTATTTAATTTTAATTTTTTAAAAAACGTATATAAGTAATAAATAGTTAATTTGTCTTCTGTAATATAATTTCGAGTCATAATATATGGTCATTTGTTATAAACATTTACTATATGAATCACAACTTATTTTTTATTTCATAAAATTAATTATATTTACGACAAAAAAGATGATATTTATTTGGATCAACCGGTTCAGTGAATCAGGTTATTGTACATGTTTATTGGACCAATTTTTTATCATTTGTAAAAATCGCCGAAAAATATGACATAACTTTTGTTGCATCTTGGGTGACCATGTTATGAGTCAAATTGACTGAATTAAATCGATTATTGAAACTGAATACGGATTTCTTAAGAAATATTTGTTCCAATAAATATAATACAATTCAAATAAATAAAGTAAGAATGTTGTCATGAGGTAATGAAGATGAATGTTAAGTTATATATTGTGGGAAAGACTACAATCCATTACGGAAATATTTTGTCAAAGTTTTTAACTATTAGATACACATGTAGATTAGTGGAGGATAAATAATATACTGTTAAAACCCTCCGACGGAATAGTGTCATAACGAGCTTTCCTTTTAGTTTATAATTCAATTGTTTTATTGTTTACCCGTGCATCGCACGGGCCACATACTAGTTTCATATTAAGGGGAGGATAAGGATAAATCTCTTGCCAAAAAAAGAAGATCTTTGTGGCAATATATGGGGCCATTTAACCGAGTGAAGGGCTAGGAGTTGGGAAAATATTTGGTCAAAATTAAAGCTCCAAACCATTTGAAAATTGAACTAAAAAAAAAATGCACAACCAATATTGAGATGGGACGGTTTACATAAGGAAATGCGGGCCGGTTTATTAAACTGATTCGGGCCGAACATAAGTGAGAATTGGGCTGGAACATAATGGCTCCGAGTTTGGTTCAATAGGCCGAGAAAAATAACGAGAACGGATCGAAGAACGGTTTAATAAAATAAAATCGACTTGCATATAAAAATATATAACTCAAGAAATAATATAATAATATGCGAATAAATGAAGCATAGGAAAAATAACATAAAATTGCCTATAAATAAATAATCCAGAAAATCAAACGGCCCTTCCTTTTCCAACAATTTTTACGAATACGTTTTTTTGATGCAGAAGTACGTTTTTTTGGAACTACCATTTAGATAATACTTAAGAACTTACCTATTGATATAGCTCGATGTGAAAGACTTTTTTTTTTACGAAAAAGTCGCTTAGATTTATGAAAAAGAGCTTTCACATATCCCATCCACCTGTAGGCCATTTTTTCTGCAATTGCATCTTGACACCCAAATACTCAAACCAGTATCTCCAAATGAAGTTTTTTACTTAAGAAGTATAGGCAATTTCCATAAAGTCCTCCATATCTTCTGCAATTTGTCATGACAATTGTGAGATGAGGCCCCATCCTGCTGCCTATTGAAGGAATGCTAGAAGATGGTATTGTAAGCTTCCTTGACAGTGAAAGCTCCCTTTTTACTTCCATGCAAGATGAGATGATCTTTGGTTCCTTTCTGCTTGATTGGGATTTTTCAGAATATGTCCTGCATCAAATGGGTTAAATGTTTGCACCACACACTCTACATCCCAGCCCCTCTGCCCTTCTATCATTAGATCACTAACCTTCAGAAGTCTAACTCTATCATCCTGAAAAACACACCGAGGCATGAAATTTGAATTATTTGGGATCCAAGAGGAATCTCAAATATTAATAGACTTCCCATCCCCTCTAGCTTGAATAGACATAGGACCACATAAGTTGGAATGAACTAGCCATAACAGATCTTCGGCTTTATTCCCTTTAGATTTAAAGACCCTCTTAGTCATCTTGCCTTCTAGGCAAGACTCGCAAGGTGGAATGGCCTCGATTTCCAACGACCTTAAGGGCCTGTCTGCCACTAACCTTTGTATCCTCCTCAGGTTTATATGAACAAGTCCTAAATGCCAAAGATATGTTTCGTTCAATCTCGAAGGTTCTTTTCTTTTATTCAGATTAGATGATGAATTAAGTAATTGTTTATGTTGCAGTGGGGAAGACTTTGGTTCTAGGATATACAGATTGTCTACTAATGAACCAGAACATATGAACTTTTTGCCAAAACGAATAACAACTTTATTATCGAAAATAGCAGAAAACCGTTCATAAACAACTTATAATCAAATTCTTTCTAAAACTAGGAACATAAAGACAATCCTTCCAAATCAAAGTCCTATCTAAACCAAAATATAAGTAGACGCCTCCCACTGCAACTGCTGACGCTTTACTAGCATCGCCCAAGTAGATGGTAACTTCTCTTTCCCTAAGCCACTTGGTTTCCTGGAACCCCTGCAAATTATTGCAGACATGATCAGTGGCTCCTGTATCTACACACCAGATTCTGGTAGATAACACCGCTAAACATGTTACAACCACTAATGAAAAAGATTTTCTTTTATCGCCCTTTTTGAGGAGAAGGCAGTCGGCCTTCCAGTGTCCTTTTTGTTGGCAGTGGTACTTGCCTTTTGGCTTCTTCACTACTTGCTGAGGTCGCATGTCATTCATGACTGCTTTACCGTTTCTTGCGGACTTCTTGTGGGGTTCTATTAGGAACGACAACAACATGCTCATTTGAATTTGGCAAAATAAACCCTAACGCAGTGGAATCTATAGTTAGGGTTAGGACATTACCGTTTTAAAAATTTTTCCAACTCAATTCACCGGGTTGACTCGGTCGAAACTCAGCTGGCTCGGCTGGGGTCACTTGGCTCGGCTGGGCTCGTCTCGGTCGGGATAGGTCGCGGACAGGCACTGGTCGGGATGCACGGGTGGCGGACAGACGCGGACAGCACGCGGGGACGTCGGGCGTGTGCGCTGCGGGTCTCCTACGGCGACTCAGACTAGGCGCGGGCGTCTGGGATCACGCGGGCGCGCGTTGGACGTATCCTACCCGTGCACGAAGGGGACGCACGTTCTTCTCGCGCTGTGGCTGGACGCAGAGGAACTCGAGCAGCGGCAGCGCGAAGCGTGCAGGGGCGGCGTGCGGGATCGTCGTTGGATGTGTGCGGCTGCGTGCGGTGGGCACGGGTGGCTTCTGACAGCGGCGATTTTCGGTGGCTTTCGGCGGCGGTGGACGACGACGGCTGACCGAAAAAAAGAAGAGATATTCAAGGCTTGATCTATCTAACCTTAAGATCTTCTAATGTATGATCTAAACACTTACTCCGAAAAACCTTGGTGGGCGATTTTTCGGATCTCTCAAACTCTCAATCTATAGAACACACTAAACTCCTTCTTCCCTTAGGAATCCTTGTTTGGGCGTGTGAATCAATAGTTAGGGGAGAGTTCAAGACATGGTGTATTTGTAGACTACATTAGGGACCTTAAAGAGGTACTCAATATGGGTTTATCCTATTAGGCTAAGGAAATTTAATTCCATTCCATATACTTTTCCCATCTAGGATAGAATTCCTCCTAACCCTAATTACCTTCTAGAAGACTCTTTAGTCTCTTAACCCTATATAATATTTTAGAAGGAATATTCCTCTTCTAATGAAATATTAATTATAAAATAAAATTATTTCCTTAATCTAAATAGAATTAAGTAATAAAACATTTCCACTAAAGTAATATTATTGCTCTCCCCATTTAGCTCCACTTTAATCAATAAATCAAACCTCCAAATGATTAATTAATATTAATCTAATTGGCCGATTTACCTCCCTATGTTTAAGATATAACGTCCGTCAATTAATTTAATTATTGATAATAAAATTAATTTGACTTCTTCATTTCTGAAACTAGTACCACTCAGTTCATTAATCATTATGCCGGATAATTATCCACTCGCAGGGTTTGACATAATATTCTTTCCTGAGCTCATTTTGGGGACGTCATCAACCCAGCGCACTGGGTCACAGTGACTGTAAATAATTTATAACGGCACATCATAAACGCTCTTACTTACCAAATTAGCGAGTATGTCATCCTAACGGAATATGAATCACCCTTGCTAAATCAAATAAATAAGTAATGAATATATATGCTCATTTTATATTATCTTACAGCTTAAGAATACGCATCAACTACTGAAGGTCTAGATTATAATAACAATCAGTAAATCTTATAATCTTATCCTTCCGCGGTCCGTTCAATACTTATCATGAGTACTAGTGTAATCCATCAGTCAAAGATCAACTTGAATCAAGACTACACTACAGTCTAAACTGTGAACAATTAATTTATATTTTACAAGGAACCGATAATATGATCTTTCTGTTCGACACCACGAACCATATTATCTACAATGTAAAATAATGGAGTTATGATTGCATAAATAAATAAACTTCAAATATAAATATTTTGACTAAAACACAATTGGCAGATCAAAATGGTACTGTTCATATCTAAAAGCCAAACTTTTACAGCATATCTATCAATCTCCCATTTATGTTTAATATGCTCATGGCTATCACTAACCACAATTTTCTTTCAATCTAATTCTCAAAGACTAGTCTAATATGTTGCCCTAACGTTTGACTCCCTTTCCTTCCATGTGTCTTTCAAAGACTTTCGCCGGTAGGCTCTTCGTAAAAGGATCTGCTAGGTTGTCCTCTGTCAGTATCTTGGCAACAATGACTTCCCCTCGTCCAACGATTTTTGGTATTAGGTGGTACTTGCGCTCTATATGTTTACTCGCTTTATGAGTCCGTGGCTCCTTCAAATTTCGCAGCGGGCAAACTCGGCACCACATCAAGGTCGAGGAGAAAATTCCTGAGCCAAACCGCTTCTTTTGCTGCCTCTGAGGCTGCTACATATTCAGCTTCCATTGTGGAGTCTGCCACGCATTTCTGCCTGACACTCCTCCATACAATGGCTCCTCCTCCTAAAGTAAACACAAACCCAGAGGTTGACTATCTTTCGTCCCGGTCTGACTGGAAGTCAGAATCAGTGTAACCCACGGAAGCAACTCATCTGTCTAGTAAACCAACATGTACTTCTTAGTCCTTCTCAGATACTTAAGTACATGTTTCACTGCAGACCAATGTTCCGGGTCTGGATTACTTTGATATCTGGCTACCATGCCGACGGCATAACAGATATCAGGCCTCGTGCCCAACATCACATACATAAGGCTTCATACTGCAGATGCATAAGGAACTGCCTTCATGTCCTCTATCTCTTCAGGAGTCTTAGGAGACATCTTCTTAGATAGAGGGATTCCATGTCGAAAAGGCAATTGCCCTTTCTTTGAATCTTGCATGTTGAAACGGACCAGGACAGTTTCAATGTATGTGGATTGGGATAGGCACAACTTTCTCTTTTCTCGGTCCCAAATGACCTCAATTCCGAGAACATGTCCTACTTCTTCTAAGTCCTTCATATCAACTGCTTGGATAACCATACCTTTACGTCTGATAACTTGTTCACACTGTTTCCAATGAGAAGAATATCATCTACGTACAGAACAAGAAACACCACCACGTTTCCTTCACTTTTCTTGTACTCACAGTGCTCATCTGGACATTGGTAAAACAATTGGACAACCTCATCAAAACGGATGTTCCAAGACCTCGAAGCTTACTTCAGTCCATACATGGACCGCTTCTGCTTACAGACCAGATGCTCTTGTCTCTTTCAATGAACCCTTCTCGTTGCTGCATATAGATGTCCTCATCCAAATTCCCATTAAGGAAAGCGGTCTTAACATTCATTTGTCAAATCTCATAATCCATATGAGCGGCAACAACTAAGAGAATCCTGATGAATTTGAGCATAGCTATCGGTGAAAAGGTTTTCTCATAATCGATCCCTTGTTTCTAGTATACCCCTTCGCAACAAGCTTAGCCTTGAGATCTCCTCTTTCTCTTATAGAACCACTTGCATCCAATGGTACGAATACCACTGGGTGGTTCTACAAAATCCCAAACCTGATTAGAATCCATTGATTCCATCTCAGATTTCATCGCACTTTGCCAAGACTCTGCGTCCCGATCTTGAAGTGCCTCATTGTATGTCCATGGGTCGGTTTCTAGAATATCTGGGACGGCCTCAGAAGACTCTCCCAGACCCAAGAACCGATCGGGCTACCTGACAACCCTCCCACTACGACGAGGTACTATCTACTCAGGTGCATCATCAATGACACGTGTTGCAGTACTTTGTGGTGTAACATCAAGTGCACTCGCTATTGAAGTTTTTTCTCCCTTTACTTCTTTAAGGAAATTTCTACTACTTGGTTTATGATCCAAAACATAGCCTTCTTCCAAGAACCTCGCTTTCATGCTAACGATCACTTTCTGGTCCTCAGGACTATAAAATAGACCACCTTTCGTTTCCTTAGGATATCCCACAAACAGCCTCACTTCTGAACGCGGTTCCAACTTATTAGTGTCCATTCTCAACACATGTGCTGGACTACCCCATATATGAAGATGCCTTAGACTAGACTTACGCCCAGTCCACAACTTCATGGGTGTGGCTGGCACTGATTTAGAAGGTACCAAGTTAAGAACATGAACTACTGTTTCTATGGCATATCCCCAAAACGAATTTGGTAATGTACTATAACACATTATTGCTCTAACCATCTGCATGAGAGTCCTATTCCTTCGTTCTGCTACGTCGTTCTGCTGGGCAGTGCCAGGCGCAGTCAGTTGGGATGTTATCCCATTATCCATTTAGTAGTTTC